AATTGATTGATTTCAGAAAATTATTTAATTATTTCGATCTAATTTCGGCTTGGGGGTGAAAATTTTAATGTACCAATAATTATTTGAACTATGACATTATGTGAACTATATAAACTATGTCAAGTTTTGGGTTTATGAATGACCGAAAATGTAATTTGATAAATTAGATATGAATTGGATATATATTTAAACAAATCTATTCGTACCTGTCTGCTCTAGTGATATGGCAACATCAAATAAAATAATACACCGTAAATTTCCCAAATTCTAAACCCTAACCATTCCGAGCCTGTCGAACCCCTGCGCTGTCCTGAAAGTTCCCGGCAAACCCCATTGTACCAGGATGGTTTGAAATTAGGAGCCAATTAAGACTTTATAAAGGGGAAACATAATTTTGTGCAAGGTTTATAGAAAATGAAAAGATTCAGGTTTGAAAATCCTTGGTTTGCCATAGCAACCGAAGATGTTTCAAAGTCATAAGCAGAAAGCATCAAAAGGCACTATCATATAGCACAAACACCAAAGCGCGCGACATCCGTGAAGATGACGGATTCACTAAAACTTACAAACTTACAACTGCGCAACGCTATACAAACAGCAACGCTAATTTATAAGTTGTTTGAACGTGTCAAGTTTTAAATATCTGAGATGAACTGTAGTTAATTTGCAATAATAGTAAGACGATGTGATAGAAATTTCCCATAATAGGAAACTGTTTCAATTAAAGGAACCTCTCGTCGACCCCTGTTACCCCAACAAAAAAACAAAAAGTCCGATTGAACCATGGTTGAAAACTACTTTCTAGACTATATGAAAAAACTAAACAAAACGCTATGGCCAACGAAATAAAACCCATAAAGTATGGAATATAATAAAATACTATAAAATGATGCCCGACCATTGTAATAATAGCAGCCGCAATTGCCCCATTACCAGTATTTAATAACCCCATTGCTGGCGGACTGCCGCCATACTTCGATACTTGTCAAAACGATGGTGAGAAAACGCCCCAAAAGGAAAAACATAACCCGACGTCTTTTCGTGATATTTGTGCATTAACGAAATTAACAAACAGAAACATCTATTGGCATACCAGCTTAAAACCTGCACATCTTTCCGTGAACTAGCGGGTGGAAACCATTGCATTATATGACTTTATTGAAATTATAGTAAATAAAATTGGGCGGAATATTATGGACATCTTGTGAGGAAAATTTCAAATATTTTGCAGTTCTCCCTGACTAGCGGGATTTAACATGATATATCAGTTTATACCTGACAAAATATGAATTGAAAGATTTATAAGATTTCATACTTGCTCTTTACTCTTTACACTATATAAACTTTCATCTCACTCCGTGAGGCACCAGACTAATAACAATGTCCGTTTGATGCAATGACTCTTTCAAGCAGTGATTTAGAAAACTGAAAATAAATATATAGTTTTCATTAATAAGTTTCGGAGTTACAAATCACAAAAAAATGAATGCTTATTAACAGAGGTAAAGCAAAGGTAAACTTATATTAAAAATGCATAAACAATATTATTTTGACCACGTAGAAATGCCAGTATTGCCGATTTATTCATGTAGTTAGTATCAATAAAAAAAAGTGTTTTAACAAAGCTGAGTTACGTGAACATTCAACACCAAGTATTGTAGGGATTACCAATTTGCGAAGTTCTTTAATTATTATTTAATACGAAAGTAACACCGACACGATCTAAAATTAAACGCATAGAAATGTCCAACTATCCGCTTCACAAATATCGCACCCCGAGGTTAATAAAAATGATATTGTTCGCTTAAAATTGGAACCGTAATTTACAAACTGTGATAGAAATCCTACACAGAAGATAGAAATCATAATAAAATTTATTTGTGTTGCGAATGCACTTGTTGCCCCTCTTTGTCGATGTGAACTCACAATCATGTCCGAAATATAAAAACTACGATATCCACCGTGATTATTTAATATCTACTAGTGAATAAAAAAGTGCTTTGATATAGTCTAACAACATTAATTAGAATGTCGGCCGCCAAAACGATCGCGGTGACGAATATTTAACTGAGGCCTTCGATTAGAACAAAATTATGAAATAAAAAACGCCGCACTGTTACGAGTTTTCAGTCTTCTAGTAAAATTCGAAAAAAAAAATTTTGTCGGCGGCCAACATCCCAATTAATGTCGTTTAAAAGTGCTGATTATTCGGTGTTCGTTAAAATATTCGATTAACTCGATTCAAAAAACACGATTTTTGCCCGCCACTGATTACGGCGCAAGTAAATAATAATTGAATGAAAATAAATGTTTAACTTCATAACAATAAATTCCAAGTAATAGTTTCACACCTCATGCATTCGGTCGGCGCTACATGCGAAACCATTATGACACTACTGAAATCTGTTTGTTTAGTTCTCTCTGAAATTAATTTTCCCGAATTTTTGGTGTTTTATTTCTAAATGTGGGTACCCGATGACTACGGATTAATAGTCGATGATTGAAATACGACTTGTAAAATACAAACCGTCAGGCAAAGAGAGACGTAACTGTGGAATTTCGCTGTGAACGACCATACATTTTAGTTTATTAAACGCATTACGTCGTCGTGAGTTGCACCTTTGGCGCACTCTTTTGATTTCATCTTAACCCCCGTTAGAAAATCCTAACTGCGCCCCTGGATGCGACCATATTTAAAATGCGGTATTTATTGGCTTAATCGTGTTTAACGAAACCTGCAGTTGCGACGACTTACGACAATATAAAATCATTACAACTCAAAAGTTACCGCGTCAATCCGCGGACATGAAATGGAGAACAATGAAACCACGTGTAACAACACCGATTCCGCCCCGCCGAAGGCCTGTCACTCTGATTCTTTTTAAAGTTTCACCGTTTGAAATATCCCAAGATATTGACAAAATACGAACGATTGTAATTTAAATTATTGCAGAAAAAAATCGATTTTAGTTCTTATTATGGTATATATTTTGAAGAAATCTTAACATAACACCAAATTTTGTGATTTACAATGTCTAAAAAGCGTTTTCAATCTGCTGCGAGACTGCTAAAACAAAACCCATGGTGATATCTTTCGTTTTAGATTTTAGTCTTATTATTTTATAATGCAGCTTTTCAATCAAAAAATTGGGTTGCGGATTCACCTCTTTATCATTTATCTCTTCACTGATTTTTATAATATAGTATTCTAACTTGTTTGTGATGAATGTAAATTAGAAAGATTCAAAAGATTTTAATAACATACTTGCTCTTAGACTCGATGCATCCACCTCTCTCAGTGATACATAATCTGACAAATACCTCCGCGTGTCTTTTGATGTAATGATAAACTGTCTTTTCCGCTTTCAAGAAGAGTTTCGGAAAGCTGAAATTTATGCGAGATAATGAAATGTAGGTAAATTTTGTATAATATTGATTTGATTAAACATAGTTGTTCGAACTATGTCATTATTAAGTTTTAAGTTTATAAGTTACGGAAAATGTAATTTGACAGGAGCACAGAGAAGCTATGCTTATACTTTGAATACATAAAATAAAAATATTAATTTTCAGTTCATTCACAAATTATTCACAGATTTCCTCCTAATTTACAAACATTACTTTGGAATGATCTGTCAGGGTATAACATTGCAACACATCATATAAACTATATTTATATTCATTGGAAAGCACGTTGAAAATACGGTTACATATTTAAGAAATGAAAATATCGAAAATAAGGCGTGTAGAAGCTTGACGGGGTGTGACCTTATGCACCCTGCTTGCTACACAAAGACGAAGGGCGCTGAACCGTGCGCCAATATTTTCCAGTCTAAACGCTCTAGTAGTCTATCCCAATACAGCAATATCAGTCTATGTTCGGTCCAGACAATCCTCTCCAAATTATCCCTGCCTTATAACTGAGATAAGCAAGCTGAAGTCCACAAGCCCACAATACACAACTTCAAACACAGGAGAATTGTAATATGTCGTGGAAATATCAAGCACTTGCTCAGCACAAATTATAAATCGAGATGTCAGATGGAGCCAAATAGATCACGTAAACAGATGACGAATACAGATAGATTGAGTTGAGATAGAGAGAGAGAGAGAGAGGTTTTCGACTGTTTTTAGCCAAGGTCAACAATATATCGAATCTTTTATGTAACTGCAGAACACAAGAATTGTTCACAAAACAATCAAAACGCAGGACAGATTCACAAATTGCAGTTCAATAATCCAGAGTTCAATGCAGCAAATTTTAAACTATTAGCAAGTTAAATAAGCATGAAACAAAGAAAACCATAATTAGCCCACTATAATTAATATGATACAGCTTTCCTAATGATAAATCGCCATAGAAGTAACGCATTGCGACAGCAAACTAGCTGTGCACATTTATAATTTCGGCTCTAACGCCAGGCGATACAATAACGATGTAAACACGCAAATTGCAGTAGACAGAAACCTTCTCGGCTCGGTCTACAGATAATAAAGAAACACATCAAATGCGAGTAATGAATTGAGACGTTTGCGACGTTGACAAACGAAAAGATGCAAACGTGTCAGCAATAAAGAAATAGACACTACCGGCGCTGGAGATCTAACATTCCCCCCACAAATTTATGTACATAGGAAATAAATTTCAAAAACACAACATGATCTCCAAGCCTCAATAGTCATTTAGTGCCTTCAACAACAAGAACTAGCTTGGTGATGGGACGCTTTACCAAGCTATTACGAATTTTAACAAGCACTGTTCGTATCAGTCCCTTCTTGTCTGGATACACATCCACGATTCTTCCCATTGCCCATCTTGATCGAGGTTGAGAATCGTCTACCACCAGGACAACATCTTCTTTCTTGAAATTTCTCTTTTCTGAAACCACTTGTGTCGCTCAATAATCGTAGGCAGATACTCTCGAATCCATCTTCTCCAAAATTCATTTGCGAGATATTGAGATTGTGCCCATCGACGTTTAACATAGCAATCATTCTTGTCAAAAACTCCAGGAGGCATTTTGATTTGACCGAAGTAATAACAAGTGATTCGGCGTTAAAGGCTCTTCATCCCGTGGGTCAAATGTTACAGGAATTATTGGACGACTGTTCAAGCATGATTCACACTCGATCAAGGCGGTCCTAAAAACTTCATCTGTCATAGTTTGACCCTGAGTAACAGCATTGAAAATTCGACGAATTGACCGAATCATTCGTTCCCATGCACCTCCATGATTTGAACCTGTAGGCGGTGATTTATGCCATGTTATCCCCTTTTGACGTAAGTATCCATGAATTTGAGAATCATTCCATATCTTCAAGGAATTTTCAAGTATTTTCTCTGCCAATACAAAATTACCAGCATTGTCCGAATATATATGAGTACAATGACCCCTTCGAGCAATAAATCGTCGGAGTGCACATATGAAAGAATCAGCAGACAAACTATTTACCACCTCGATGTGAACAGCACGAGTTGTCATACACGAGAACACACAACCCCATCTTTTCACATCACTCCTTCCCTGTCGAACAAGAAAATGTCCAAATAGATCAACACCAACATGACTGAACACTGGTTCATCCGATTTCAGTCGACAGGAAGGTAGATCTGCCATAAATTGTTTTCCAGGGCGGGCATTTCGCTTTCGACAAGAAACACAATTTCCGATGACCCTTCTTACTGCAACTCCACCTTTGATAATCCAGTACTTTTCTCTTAATGAGGTCCATGTATGACCCATACCTGAATGACCAACTTTGTTGTGATGATCCCTGATGACTAGATCCGTAAGATGTGATTTATGAGGCAATATGATGGGATGCTTTGATGAATGCATAATTGGTGCATTTTCCAAGCGTCCTCCTACTTTCATCAAACCATCTTCTAGAACAGGATTAAGTTTCAACATCCGGCGAGAGCAATCACCTTTACTGATAAATTTACCATTTAATATACATTTCATTTCTTCACGAAAGCTTTGTCTTTGAACATATTCAATAATAACTCTTTCAGCATAGCTCAGTTCCTGCACAGTCAGTCTTGCTGGCAGTTCAGTAAGCTTGTCTATTGACTTCTTATGAGAACACAAATATTTCTTGAATCGTATGAGCCAACAAGTTGCTTTCTTCAAACGGTAGAAAAGAATCCTATGAACCTGTCCATGACAGAAGACTCTTCCTTTATTACAAATGCCGACTTTATTTCTGGAACTGGCTTTGGACAAAATTCAGACGGTGGATCAGGAAAACAGTCCGGCATCTTTGGCCACTTGTCTTCAGAAAGACGCAAAAACTCGGGCCCATTGATCCATCGTCCTGACTTTAAATATGCATCAACTCTAAGACCACGCGAAGCATCATCAGCTGGATTCATCTTCGTTGGAACATGGCGCCACTGTGATACATCAGTATTTCTATCAATTTTTGCTAAACGATTAGCAACAAATGTGGAGAATCGTTTCTTCGAATTTCTTATACTTTGAAGTACGGCTGTGGAATCAGTCCAGAAAGTTGAACTGCATTCATTCATCTTCAGTTCTTTCTTAGGACAAGATTCAACTTTACAGCGAGAACTGCAGCTGTTAATTCAAGTCTGGGTATAGTTACACGAGAACATGGAGCAAGTCTTGCCTTTCCAACCAAAAATGCCACATGAATTTGGCCATTTTTATCGATTATTCGTAGATATGAAACAGCTCCATATGCAATTCTGATCCATCAGCAAAGTGATGTAGTTCATAGGAAACAACTTTTCCAAAATCAAATGGCTGATAGCATCGCTGTATCTTCACCTGTTCTAAGCTTTGCAGTTGATGTAGCCAGTTTCGCCATTTAACAGCATCATCATCTGCAATTTCTTGATCCCATCCCAAATTTTGCTTGCAAAGTTCTTGCAACAATAACTTGGCAAGTAGCGTTATTGGAGCCACTATACCAAGTGGGTCAAAAACAGATGCTACAATTGAAAGTATACCTCTCCTGGTATTTGGTTTGTCAGCAATATTAACCTTGAACCCAAACTCATCATTTGCCACATTCCACTGAATACCAAGAACTCGTTCTTTGACATTGCCATCAATGACATGATTTTGAACACATTTAGCTCTCTTTTCATCTGGAATCATAGACAGTAATTCATCATTATTGGTGAGCCATTTAGTCAAGTTGAATCCTCCTTTTGACATCAATTGTGTCAATTCCTTGACAATCTCTATGCCTTCATCGACCGATTCAGCAGTTGTCAAGCAGTCATCGACATAGAAATCTTCATTAACAATTTCTGAAATTCTAGGTTTGTGTTCGTTTCCAAATTTCACCACCGTCTGTTTCAAACAAAATGCAGCACAAGACGGACTCGATGCAGCCCCAAATATATGAACTCGCATACGATGTGGAACGGGTTCCTTTGAAATGTCCCCGTCATCCCACCATAAAAACCTTAGTGCATCCGTGTCCTGAGGTGCCACTCTAACCTGGTGGAACATTGCTTCCACATCTGCCACTAATGCCACTCGTCCCCTGCGAAATCTCAAAATTACACCCACGAGTGACGATACCAAATCTGGTCCGGACATTAAGCAATCATTCAGAGACACATTTCCATATTTGGCTGCAGCATCAAAAACTACACGAACTTTTCCAGGCTTATGCTGGTTCATGACAGGAAAATGAGGAAGATACCAAACTGTATTAGACGTATCAATTTCGGCATATGAAATTCTTTTGGCATATCCTGCCTTGATATATCCTTGAATAACTTCGACATACCTTTTATGCAAATCGGAATCTCTCATCAGTCTATTTTTGAGGCTACACTTTTCTTTCTTGCCATCTCTTTGTTATCCGGTAGATACTGCATCCCGGTTCTCCATGGCAAAGGAAGTTGAAAATGACCACCAATATGTTTCACCGAATTTTGCATAATTTCATACACTGCTCGATCTTCTCGAGAATTTGGAATATCAAGAACTGAAGTTTCATTGCCAAAATCTGTTGTCCACAGAGTTTCAATTTCCTTTTGTGTTTCCAAATCTTACACTTGACGAAATTGACATAATGATCAGATGTAAAATGAACTTCTCTGATATCTGATGGCGACTCAAAACTGGGTCCGAACAGCGACCAGCCAAGAACAGTCTTCACTGCCTTAGGTGCTTTCCTCGGTCCATTTCGAACATTTGGAAACAGACGAGTTCCGCATTGTCAGCCCAATCAGAAGATTCACTGTTCCTCCTTCCAAGATAGGCAATCTTACATCTTGAAGATGCGGCATGATTTTAAGGAACCTTTGTCGGGCGCTTTATTCGGCTTAGCAGGAATTTTTTCAACCGAGAGCACATCTGTGATTTCATGTTCAGCACCACCATCTAGCGGCGATACAACTAAACTGCCAGATATACCCTTGTATTGTATTGGCCTCTGTCCAATTGTGCGTAATGTGATATCTCTAGTATTTCCTGTTACTTCGAGATATTCCATCAAACGTTCACTACACAGAGTAACTGTAGATGCCGGATCCAGCAAGGCGTATGTTTGAGCGGTCTTTTCACCATTTCGAACATTGACCGGCACCACACATAAATAAACATCTTGCCCGATACTTTTCCCATTGCACTTTGACGACTTTGCCAATGAATATACAGCAGGTCCCTCTTCAGGCTTTTTCGATTTCTCCTGAATTTCAATAAATCTATGAAGCAGTGTGTGATGTCGATTTCCTTTACATCCATGTACTTTGCACTGACTGGCCTTCTTGCAATTACGAGCAAGATGACCATGAGACAGACACTTGAAACACAATTTCTGCTCCTTCAAAAGACTGACCTTTTCTTCATGCGATTTACTCTTGAAGTCCGGGCAGTTCCACAAATTGCGGTTTGAGACAACATACACATCCCAAATCCCGTTTTTGATCAATGTGTTCCCTTTGGCCTCAGCATCAATATTATAGGTTGCAGCTCTGTTTCTCCTCACACTCACAGGAATCTTTTTGTGACGAATCTCATTAAGCTTTTTCCCATACATTGAATTTTTCACATCCGCCCAATTACAAACATAATCGACCAAGTGACAATATTTTGCCTGACGACCAGTCTTTCTTTGAATTCTGAGGGCTTCATGTGGCCAGCCATCCTGAACATCTTCAGGAAGTTTAGCCATCAGCATTCCCATAGTGTCCAGGGTGTTTACATTTGCAAATTCATCAATGTCTTCTAGAGTTCCCAGGCATCGCTCCATTACTTGTGATATTTGCAATAGCTGCTCTGGCTTGTCATCACGCACACTTGGAAACTCTTTTAGAACTCTTTCACATGCACCAGCGATAATATGAGGCTGACCATATTCTTCAAACAGCCTCTGCCTAGCAAGCTTGTATCCATTCTCAGGCTTCTTTGTGAAGTATTCTAATTGTGCACGAATTCTCTCTTCACAATATTGCAACAAACACACAAGCTTCTGGCTATTTGTTTCTAGTTTCGGTGCCAGGTGGATGTCAAAATTTGTTATGAAAGACATATACTTCAAAGGATCTCCATTGAACACAGGTAACTTGGCTTCTGAAAGAAGAATTCTTCACGTCCATGATAATGGTGATGCTGTATAACTGGAGATGATTCTCTTGTTCTCCGCTGTGAATAATGTTGTGGCCCAGATTCATAAACATAATCATTAACCGACTCACGATTTTCCTGAAGTGTCCTATATCCACGAGTCTGCACATCTGGCAACTCATTGACACTACTTTCATTTATTCGGAAAACGTGATGGTGTTCACGGCCAGCCATTCCATCTGGTTCAGCCGCAAATGAACATCCTGAGCATCGCACGATTCACAGGCTGAAAGTTATAGCTTTGACCATTTCCAGTTCTATTTGGAACAGCATTATCATCTCTTCTCAATGGAGTCTGAGAATATGTGTGTACATTATGCGACCTTGCAAAACGTACTCGTTCATGACACGAATCAGAGGCAGCATAGCCATCATGGTTGGTATTTATTCTAGTATGTGTGGCTTCATTCTGTAGCGAAGCAGATCGACGCCTGTTCAATGATGAAACATCAGCTTGCATTACATTTTTATGCACAGTTGTAGAGGAATTTTATCACCAACCTGAGTGAGTTCACCAATTTGGGTGATGAAGGTTTTTGCTCAGTACTTGCAGTCTCTTCTCTGCGGCTCGCCAATGGCACTGAAGGCTTTTTATCACTTGCCCTGCTCGTACCTGGCAACACATTAATAGGACTCAAATTATTGAAATCTCCATCACCTTTTATTGAATCACCAGTTGATTCGTATCCCACAATAAAAATTCCACTTCAGTCAATTCCACTTTACGCTGTGCATCACGAAGCTCCATTTTACGTTTCAAGCTTCCTCCTCAGCTTTTCTTCCGTGTGACGAAGCTGTACAATTGCTAGATCGCGTTTCACTTTGCACTGCAATCTTCTCTTGAAGGAAGCTCTCGATGTATTTCAGAACAATACTACCCGCATACTTTGACGATACATTTTCTGGTTGCCACAGTTGAATGCGTTTTCAATTTTTCGAACCATTCCGAGATGCGTGAATCAAATTCCGATTTTTCACGCTTCAAATCATTAGTCACAGGAAAGTCAGTAATCTCTTTACCTGCCACTTTTCAGGAATCATGTCAATTAAAGAGATTAGCTGCTGGAACACTTCAATCAACTTCTAGCCTTACTACTGACAACTTTTCAGCGTTTTCACGTTGAAGCATCAAAACGTTCAGCTATCAAATACTTTTCCTGCAAGCAGATCGCAAAATGTCCAACTGCTGCTTTGCCTTGGATTCCATTATAGCTTGAACGATGAAAGTCTTTCAACCTTGAACAGTATCTTATTAATTATCGACGTCTTGTTGCAAGACACAATGAATAAGTCGAAAACTTTTGCACCCAGCAAAAAGGCACCAGTCGAAAAACTTTTTGCACCAGCAAAAAAGGCACCAGTCGAAAACTTTTTATGTAGAAGCTTGACGGGGTGTGACCTTATGCACCCTGCTTGCTACACAAAGACGAAGGGCGCTGAACCGTGCGCCAATATTTTCCAGTCTAAACGCTCTAGTAGTCTATCCCAATAACAGCAATATCAGTCTATGTTCGGTCCAGACAATCTCTCCAAATTATCCCTGCCTTATAACTGAGATTAAGCAAGCTGAAGTCCACAAGCCCACAATACACAACTTCAAACACAGGAGAATTGTAATATGTCGTGGAAATATCAAGCACTTGCTCAGCACAAATTATAAATCGAGATGTCAGATGGAGCCAAATAGATCACGTAAACATGATGACGAATACAGATAGATTGAGGTTGAGATAGAGAGAGAGAGAGAGAGGTTTTCGACTGTTTTTAGCCAAGGTCAACAATATATCGAATCTTTTATGTAACTGCAGAACACAAGAATTGTTCACAAAACAATCAAAACGCAGGACAGATTCACAAATTTGCAGTTCAATAATCCAGAGTTCAATGCAGCAAATTTTAAACTATTAGCAAGTTAAAT